CTCGCATCAATGATGAGGAATGAAGTTTCGAACTTGGATAATAATCGAGCTAAATTTTTGGTTTCCAGGTGCAAAAATTGGACACCGCTCGTTAATGTTGTACTACCGTCAGTATCTCCGTCCTACAGACGGTAGTAAACCTGACGTTGGCAAGGCGGCTATTGATAAAGCTCGTGGTCTCTATCCAGCTTTGGCATGGACTGGAACAACAGGTACTGTCACTGCATGAGTGCTGTTTTCGTTGGTTGCTGTGGCGAATAGTGTGTGGACACTTGTCTAGTAATCATTACCCATGATCATTTTTAAAAACGGAGGATAAATGGATCGTCCCGACCCATTTATCCTCCGTCTTTGAAAAATTTGGGTGGGGCTAATGGAATGGAAGGTTCGGCGTCAAAAGCAAGTTCATCTTACGATTAGATTGCCAATGTCCATCGTTTTCATAAGCAGCCAGTCATTGTCCAGATTGTTTTTGGTTATGGTGCTCAGCAAATCGGAACTTGAGCCCACGATCGCTAGTCTGTACTCCTATGCCGGCGGATTGCATGCGTGAATCAAGGTTTTACATGAGGCGTAGTCGACCATACCATGGCTGATGAACACCGCGTAGACCAGGCGACGTTTCTTTCAACGGCTGATCTTTTAGTAGCAATTGTCAGCTTGAAACCTTACTGAAATTTCCTTAAGTTTTAAACTGTTGCTTTCTTTAGGTGCTGTGGCCAAGCAGACAGCTCGTGATCTACAGTTTGTACAACGCTATCGTCGACGTTTCGATTTGCGTGTGGGCGTCAAATCAAACAAGCTGTTCAAATCTCAGGGTCGCATGGGTGACAACTGATCAGTGGTAACTGTGAAGAAGTCTTTCCTCTCAGTCTTTTCCGGTTTTCTTTTCACATTTCTATTCTACTCTGAACATCTTTGTGACCATAGCCGCACAATGCAGTAATAATCCATAGCTTTTGGAATACCATTGAGGAATTGTCGTCTTCTCAGGAAATTTGTTCTTTACCTTACCTACGCTCTCTACTACCAAAGCTCAGATTGTGTTGAGCGTTTCACCATCTTAGTTACGGTCGTGCTAATAAGCGCTTTTTGCTGTTTCCCTCTAGGCGAGATGTTGCGCAGCGTGCGACGAATCGTCAAAGTGCCCTGTTCTCCTCCGATTTACCGATAGGCCTTGCGCGTAAGGCATATATGCTCTAAGGCCATAAAGGGTCACACCTAATTTTTGGTGGGGTGATGCTTTTTGGATGAATCAGCCTCTCGCGCCTCTCAATTCTTCTAGCGTAACCTACATGTACTCGAAATCGTGTTTAACTCATGGCCGAGTCAGCAAATGCTGCGAATTTTTGATTTTCATTTCGAATGGCAGCCCAAATCATTATTTTTCAGCCTTGGCACACATTCGCGCATTCGATACGGTCCTTTTTGTTCAAATAGAGCATCGAATGTGATTAGCGGCCGCATCGCGGCCGCACGCTTCCCTCGTGTACCAGCTCGCACCTGTTTTCTTGGGCTTTGTAGGCGACACATTCACGGTGATTTTTAGAGTTTTTTCTCGTTGTTACTTTGTTAGCCTCCACCGTTGAGGACTCATATTCCACATACCTGTTATCATCACTGTTGTTTCATTTGTTTATATTTTTTTCCTCGCTATAAATCAAGAGTAAAATAACAGCAGATTATTTCATCAAAATTTTTATCTTTTAAAGTCGAAACACATTCATTTTCGAATCGAAAATTATGCGGAATAATAACAATAAAAGGGCGAAGTCGGTCTGTTCAATGTACAAGAATCGATTACAGAGGGTTGGGCGTACACCGGGATTTTGGGAAGAGTCAACAAACATGAATCAATACATACACATGTGGTGTCTAATAACGAGCATCACGATCGACATCATTTATAGTTAAATGGAGATCGTGATGTTCGTGTTCAGACTCCTAAACAGCATATTCACCTACTTTATTACTCGTAATGATCCGTTTCTTCAACAGTAATCGCTCTATAAAACAAACAGAGTAATGCACACATACATTAAAACTATCATAGCAAGACGTGTTGTGATCACGTCAGAGATACTTAAAGGATCTGTGGTGCGTATTTCATGTGAAAGAAAGGCGTAGAAATAGCTGAACACGTAGCACATCGCGCGCGTTGTTGAATGTGTATAGTTTGGCCTTAGAAGGGATGTGTTGGGATTAGCATACTGTAATATTGGTCGCGAAAGGCACGCGCTGGTTCGGGAACGATGCCAGTGAGAGCTGTTGGGAGCTGCTTGATGTTCGATGGATGAGAACAGATTCGGAATCGGATACTCAGATTGGTATTCAGAGCGCGGTACACAGATGGTGTTGGTAACTCGTGTCCTTGGGATGCGCCACGCATTCAACCTCGTAGCAGCATCGGTTGCGTATTTGACGTCCATCAAGATCTATCCGGTGAATAAATCGGTATTCTTGTCCAGTAGATCTGATCTGACACCTGTTACCCGACCCTGGAAGGAGAACGCTGGCCTAGCCTGAACACATACGTATGGTCTCAGGGCCAGTTAGCGGTAAGCGAGTGCTGAACTTCTCAAGGCATATCCTCGGTTGATCGCCAACCGTCTTCAGTGGGTTTTGCCCTTCTTGCGTTCTCCTCAATATGGCGGACCAGCCACTCGAGGTGGATTCGAGCCGTTACTACATCACACCACCGATTAAGAAAAGGATGGTGAGAGCCGTTGCCATGAAGAAGTCATTTGCAGCGGAGTTACAACCAGACCCGTTTTCGGAAATCGGAACAAAAGCTGACTTCCCACGAGATTAGGAATTGGCGGTCCGAAAAAGAAGAGCAGGAGAACCCATGGATTGAGGGCTGGACTTCGGGGTCACCTACCGCTCTGAGGTTTAGCGATTGTCAAAGGGAATTCGAACACTTGTGGTACGACTTGAAGAGTTTTGAGAGAGAATCAGGCTGAAGCGCTCACTGAGCACTAACAACTGATGTCCTTGTTAGCTGTGGAAGGCTAGCCTGAGCATTTTTCGTCGACAAGTGTCAGCACAGGCTGATTTCAGGGAGTTTTTCTGCCCTCCTTTGGCTTTAAAAATCCCTGACACTACTTTTTGGCCCACCATCTCCTCGACTACGGTAGACTGCTATCATCCAAGGCCACTCCCCTAGTTGCCTGAGTTCGATTTTTCATTCGAAGATCTGCTTCATCGCAGTGCGGGTGATCTCGGGTTACCCTTAAACGGTGAAATTACCCGTGATGGTCAACATATAGTCTCCGGTGAACTCCCAAGCACTCCCTGTTAGCTCCCACTGGCCTCGCGGTCACTACTAAATACTAGCTATCTGTAAGTGCACATATTATTGTACATCGAAAGTCTAAAGCACTGAAATTAAATGACAATATTAATAGCAGATTAAGAGAACAAACAAAAAGAGATGCTGCGAGATGCTAGAGAGCGAACGACCAGCGCGCGGAGATCAGTCGAATTGGGCGGAGCTTCTACTGTGTTTGAAATTACCCCCGTCGAGCGAAGGCGAAGGGATAAAATCAATTAGCTATCAATAATGCACAAGATAACAATGGCAATGCATAAATGAATTTGGCGTTCGGAATACATGAAAGATTAGTACGGTCGAGACCAGAGAAGGCCAGCACCGGACAACCTGAAAAGAACGTCTCTGTTAGGTTGGAAATTCAGGAAGTAAATAGAAATAAAGCAGACCGCTAGCCCTATGAGTAATGCTATATCGATTTTTAGCACGCGCGTAAAAAGGAATTAGTCCGCAGTTGTTGAGGACAACAGTGCGCGTTTGATTTATAGACCTGTATCTAACTAGCAACAAGTGTTACTCCTTTGAATTGCAGTACAGTTATATAGATTTTTATCACGCGCGTCAGTAATAAAGGGTCAAGGTATGTACTATTGATTTTCAGCGTATGCGCGCATGCATGCCTTGATCAGCCGATGTATTTGGGGTGCGGCAATGGGTATAAATATAATGCATGAAAGGGCGGCTTTTATCGCTTCTCGGTAGCTTATACTTGAACTTACTTCGGCCTACGTTTCCGATTCAACTCTTCTTCGCGTAATCGCTCCAGTTCTTGTTGTCGGAGTCGTCGTTGGCGCTGTTCACGTTCCAGTCGCTGTTGTCGTCGTCGTTTTCGCTTGCGAAGTTTCCGCATTGCCGGAGGCGTCGGACGACGATTCGCCACCCGCTCCTGTATGCGCTCGATTCGCGTTTGCATTGCTTGTTCGCAGCTTGTTCGTCGCACAACGAACCCTGGATCCTTAGGTGCTGATGTTTTCAATACTGCGGCGCGAGCAAGTCGCCGAAGAGCAACATTGCGATTAGGAGGGGAGAAAAGTTCTGAAAAAGAAATTTTTTTTGATACTTAAAAGTACCACAGATCCGCGATTACCCGGAACTTTTGTGCCTGTGATGTTGCTCGTAGCTATCTCTATGCGCGGGGCCTCAAAATCTAGAGAGACAAACGGGGACCCAACCTTTCTTGACGAAGTTACATACAGGCACGCTTCACGTGTCTAAGCTCTCCCCGTTGCGAATGTATTGGTGTCTGCGTCCCCCTGTGCCCTGTGCTCTCTCGTCTCCGAGCATTTCCTCTCAATGCTCGAGCCCGTCTGTCTATTTTTATGTACTGTCTGTGCGCGCATGACTTCAAGCAGGCGGCCCATCATCTCCAGCTCTCCCGATGTGTTCTATACCAGGAATTTTTTTCACACTGTATGCATGATTTGAAAACGGTCTTTTGCATGATATAGGGGCAGATGCGGGAACCACAGAACCATGTTTAATTTTTCCTGAACGGCCCTCTGAATACCAGAAAAGGGGTCCCTAGTTCGATTCCTCTGGTACACAAATTTTTGCATTTCGAGTTGACGTGCCAAAATTCGCGCAAAATGGAGTTAGCATGAATAATTAGTACCATATTCATGATTAGGACCGACCGTCAATAACCCTTACAAATAGACTTTGATTAAAAAACTGGTGAAAAAGGTGTGACACCACAGTGGGGCTGCTTGATGTCACACCTCTCACACCAATTTTTAAGTCAAAGTCTTTTGTAGGAGTTACTGACGGCCCTAATCATGAATATGGTACTAATTATTCATGCTAACTCCATTTTGCGCGAATTTTGGAACGTCAACTCGAAATGCAAAAAATTTGTCACCAAGAGGAATCGAACTAGGGACCCCCTTTTCTGGTATTCAGAGGGCCGTTCAGGAAAAATTAAACATGGTTCTGTGGTCCCCGCATCTGCCCCTATATCATGCAAAAGACCGTTTTCAAAAAGCTCGTCACGCCCTGAAAGACCTTCCTGGTTAGTCGCCATTCCTAACGCTTT